ACACAAACACCGCATCAACACCGCCTCCCCTCCCCCTCCCCCGTCTCTCCACCTCGTAATCCCTCCACTCCTTCCACCCTGCAAACCCCTGTCCAGACCCTGCTTCGCCGTCGCCCCAAATGAAGCGTCTCCCAAACTCCCTGCGCTTGTGGATAAGAGGCTCGCACACTGCGGCAATGACTGCGTTCGTAGCGCACATTGTTGCTTCTGCGTATGCGGTGCCCCGGCTTCCAGCGCCGATGATGAGGATGCGAGGTATTTTTTCAAAGGCGTGGAAGGTTGGGGCGGAGGTGAATGAGGCCGAGGTCATTGTGTGGGATGTGTTGTATAAGCGTCAATATCAGGTGGACTTTTCGCAGCATGTGTTTAAAACAAAGTGCTTGACAGCGTGTATTTTTATTTTCTATTCTTTGGATTAGTCAACTTTGGTTGTTTGGTGTGACTTGCAGCCTTTGCGTCGAGTCTACCATGCGCTGGTGTGACTTGCAGCCTTTGCGTCGAGTCTACCATGCGCTGGTGTGATGAATGCAGCGGTCTGGTGTTTATGAACAACAGCGCAATACACGACGTGAGGGGAAATGCGATTGTAGAGTAGCATGCAGAATGCATGTGGATGTTGCATTGCAGCTTTGGCAATTGGCATCGTATTGGCCAGATCAAGAAGGGTGGTTGCGATGTGGGGTGTAGTGTGTGTCGAGCCAATGAGATCGTCGCTGATAAATCATGTTGTGAAGGGGCGAAGTGGGCCAGCATGATGGTCCTTTGATGGGAAGAAGAGGGAGGTGCAGGTAGTAGAAGCTGGGCATTATGATTGATTTTATGCTGTGTACGGGGAGCGTAGGTCTAGTTTACGGTCATGGCAAACGACATGTCTAAACCATGCGAGAAGGATGAATGGGAAATGCAGGGCTATGTATTCTATGATCGATCTAGCTCGTAGAATAGCAGATAGACCTCCTTTTGCATACCCAAGACCTCACTCGTCTTACTCTCTTTGATCTTGTCATCGCTGATACGCCACCATCTGTTCGTCGTCTTCTTCGACTTGCGACTCAACGGATTCGACTCCGCAATCGATGTCGCCTTCTCCGTCGCCTTGTCCTTGATGGAACGGATACTCTTGGTCCGGGTCAGTGGTTCTGTGCCTGTAGAGGAAGGAGGTAATTGGACAGAATCGGTGTCTGATTGTATGCGTGGCGCTGATGTGGGAGCTAGGCCACGGGGTGTGCACGGTAGAGAGTCTTGAGAAGACAGCGATTGGTTAGATGGTGAATCAAGGGGCGGAGAGGTGGGTGATCCGTGACTGTTGTTCTGAGGGAGATGGGTGGCTGATATTCGTGGACTTTGCATCGCAGACGGTGCCATTGAAGGGACCGCAGACGGGTAGGGGCTTGCTTGACGACTATATGCACCCTCTGTGCCGAAAGAAGTCGGCGTCGAAAAAGGCAGGGGCTGCACCTGGCGGCGGAAAGACTCATAGTGACCGCTGTTATGGCTGCCTTTGTGGGTGACCAATCCCAACAGACGGTAGTTCTTACGATGTAGCAGGCCACCCAGTGGCAGAGCTTCAGGAAACGAAACCTTGGCCAGATTCTTCGTGGACACGGTACCAGCAGCAAACATGGACCGCGACAGATGTACAGCAATGACTTTGGGGAAGTGTGATATGTACATGTGTCTTGATATGCGCCGTTTGGGCGCTTGGCTGGAGTCTGGTAGCTCAATGTCTTCGGGTGGGTGCTCAGGATCCTCGTCCAAGGTCTTTTGGAGTCTGGCGATGTCTGACTGTAATCTCTGTCGGACTTCTGAATCTGTTGTTCGGGAGAGTTTCTGCTGCTTGCTCTTCAAAGCATGCTCCAGGCGACACCACTCGCATTTGAAGTCATCAATGTACTCCATCTTGAGCATACCGTCGAAGCATTCGTTGAGCGACGTGGAAGAACACTGCGGTACGTTCAGGGTCAACGTGACAAAATCCGACACGGTTGGTTTCGGCTTGAAGTGGCAGGTCAGGCACTCTATCTGCGATTCGATTTTGCCCTCGAACGGAAATCCTTCCTCATTTGCAAGAGATGCTTCACCTTCTTCTGCTTCTGGATCTCCAGAGCCGGCGCTCGCGACTATCGAAGGCGCAGCGCCAAACTGTTCCACAATCTCCCTTCGCGTAGAGGCGGTCTCTGCATTGGGGCGAGCCAGACCGAGCTGCAGGGCACGCCGCCTGGCTTTGGCGCCTGCGTGGTACTCGTCGCAAAGGCGCTCGGTGACGATTTGGAGGAATTCCTGCGCATCCTGCTGCTGACGACTCACGCGAGTACCGAATGCGCGCTCGAGGGAGCGTATAAAGGACTGTGGTGAGATGGTCTTCCTGTATATGGGCCGTTCGTTGAGGCTGTCGAGAATCTCCTTGAGGCCATAGGTGAGGATGCCATGCTGCAGGCCCTCGAGCTTGCCTGGCTTGACATTGACAGACGCCTTCTCTGCACTGGCGCTTTCAGGGTGCACATTGTACACTTCCGGCCCGTCCAGCTTCCGACGATGTGTCTCTCTGATCAGGTATATGCGCAAGTCTGGTAGGCCAGCGAGGGCCTGCAGCACCGAATTGATAAAACAGTCGTTGGCGGCATTGCTGAGCCCCACCACGCCCTTCTTTTTGGTGCTACTGCTGGCTGCGTCATTGTCGAGGAAGAAGGTTGGGCCAAAGACGTAGACGAGCGTGATGGCGGCAAGAGAGGCGCCTGCTGCATAAGTCGCGATCGTGAGCGGCTT